CACACACGCTGTTATAAAAGAGTTCCCGAAGACGACTTAAAACACACCTTAGTATCGATATTTTTTGTTTGAGTATCGATACTTTCGATACTCGCGTCAGTATCGATATATCGATACTTTGGATCGATATGCCCATCCCTGGATAGAGAAAAGGAATGGAATTTTACTTTCAGAACCTGACTGTTGCATTCTATAAATATCTCCTTTTGTGTTTTCTACAGAAAAAAAACAAAATAATACTGGTTTTGAAAGACATGAGGGTGAGTAATTTAACTATATTCAACATCAACTATATCATATCTGCATGATTAATAGAAATAATGTTTACTTACAGATGCCCACCACCAAGAATGTGGAATACTGGTGAACTTGGTTTGAGGGACGTCGTGTTCAACGGTATAAACCATGGCGGAGAATGTGAAGATCCCCATGGCGATAAAGAGGAAGAGACATCCCACCTGCTGATAGCACTGCCTCAACGTGAAGCCAAACGCTCTGAGCCCCGTCGAGTGACGCGCCAGTTTCAGAACACGAAAAATACGCATGAGTCGCATGATTCGTAACACTTGTCCCACCTTGCTCATCTGACCAACAGTCTCCATGTCAGTGGTTTGTGTCCCAGAATTGAAGGTCTCAAAGCTTTCGAGCACGAACTGGAGAAGCTGCGGTAGGATGGCCATGAGGTCAACCGCGTTCAGCATGCTTTTAACAAAGCAACCAATATCTGGGGTTGAAACTAGACGCAGCAGGTACTCAGCGGTGAAGAAGGTTATGCACAGTGTCTCTACGAACTCTCCAAATGTCTTTCCGCTAAACTCATTAGATGCCATGTTCTCCATTTCTTCTACCGTAGTCAAAGTCATTGTAGCCAGCGACACCAGCACAAACATACTTGAGGCGACCGCCATTAGTTTCGCCGGTACTGAGGAGAACGGTTTCTCCATGAAGTTCCAAAGCGAGCGTCTCGTCTCGCCGAGGAACATGTCATTGAATGCCTCCTCATTTTCTTCGACATCCACCTCCGCCTCCAGTTCCTTCTGAACCTTGAGCTGTTCGCACAACTCGTCGTGTTTCTCCTCAAGAAGGATCCTACAGCACCGTTGCGAGTATTTGATCCGAACGCCCCAATAATTGATCTCCTCTAAGAAGTTCCTTGGACAAAGCTCGTCCTTGATCCACAGCACGCCGGTTCTGTAAAAGTTGAAGATGCTGTTGAAGATGTCTGGATCTCGGTCGAAGAAATACTCGTTGTCCTTCACCACATAGTCGTCGCAGAGGTTCAGCTTCATGTTGAGGTCCGTATAGGTGGCTAAACGGCCGATTCTGCTCTGTGGGTATCTTGCTGCCATTTTATAGGTGATGCGGTAGGACTTTCCACCAACGTTGAGGTTGAGCATGCAATTCCTGCTGGGTGAGGCGCTTGTAAACCACATTGTTGGTTCCGAATGCTTCTCAACCTCCTCATCTTCACCAAAGATGTCATAGATATCTGTCTGTAGTTCGCCTAAAGAGCTCCACTGTTTCAGCAAACACTGTTTAGCGAACGGAACCGCATCGTCTGTTGACTCCGAGGTTGCTAGTTTGCAGTTGGGAAAGAGGCTCTGTCTCCTGTTTCTCTGAAAGTTGAACATCCTTTCAGTCCTCAGCTATCCTCCTCGAGGAGGATAGCTAGTGTACCATACGCCTGTAAATCTCAGCGCTTTACTGAGGTTAAATCTAAAAAGAGGCAAGCAGGAGGCAGCGCCAGAGCTCTAATGCTCTCTATAAGGAGCTAAGAGTTCAACTTAAATGCCATTATCCTTTAAGCTTTTGCTTGATAGTGACGTCTGCTTTGCGTTCTTTGAAATGGCATGCTTGCCATGTGTCAATGAATGAATGCTCTTACCAAGTTACGGATGAGTTTTAAGACCCCCTTCAACACCCCAATGCTTATTCGTAAACTCATTCTAAACTAGAGGAAGTAGTTAAGAGATGGGGCACCGTATTTACTAGAGGATAATGATAGTAACATTTAAACAAGCAGCCAAACAGACGTAGGAATTAGCGGACGTGAAGGAATTCATGAATGAAACTAAGAAACTAGGTATTTTCTACATATACATAGTTTGGAAAAATTAAGATATTTTATGTTTGATCAAAAAATACAGTTAAACAGTATTACAATAAATTCAAAAAACTGTTTTCTATTTAAATACATTTAAATAGATAATATATTCTTGTGTTGCAAAGCTGAATTGGTAGCATCATTACTCCAGTCTTCAGTGCCACACGATCCTTTAGAAATCAATTACATGCATTATTAATAAACATTGTAGAAACTTAATTTGCTGTAAAGTTGCTTTGCAACGATTTGTATCGTGAAAAGCGCTATACAAATAAACTTGAATTGAATATTAATAATTTAGCACCACTTATAATTGACACCAAATCATATAAATATATAATATATATATATATATATATATATATTTCTTTGAATAATGTATGCAGTGTGTTTATCTGCCTTCAAAATCAAAACTAATTCAAATGGACATGAATCAAGCTTTGTAAACAATGGAAAGAGCAGGACAGATAATGCCAGACAAAGTCACTTAAGGTAACCTTAAGGGTCACTAAGACCTTTAAGTTAGCTTTAAGTTAAAACCCGATCTTATGAGAAAATACACCTATTTTACGATGTGGAGATTTGGTATGAATTTGTAATATGTGATTCGTAGAAACGCAGCATTTTTTGAAAAAAAAATCCACCCTTAACCCCACCCCTATAAATCTATACAAATTAGCTAGTAATTCACCAAAATTGTTACGAATTGTCAAGAGAGTGTGTTGTTAAGTTCAGTTACTCAGGTAATTATTCCTGTTAAATTTGTAAGTGGTATTTTTGGCATGTGCTTATAAAACGCTATGATGTTTATGCCTTTTCTCCTTACACTTATCTATTGTTCTTTGAAAAAAAAGAAAAGAATGAAAGAATAAATATTTATTCAGTAACTTGTATTATATTGGCCTCTGTTAGATTATCACTTCTTTAGAAATAATCTATGTACACTCTATTTTTACTCTATTTTTGCATAATATTATTATATTTTACGTGTATTATAACTCTTTATATCGCAAAACAGTTTTTTCCCACATAAAAGCAGCACAGGATGCAAGATAGAATCGATACACAAAATAATCCTGTACATAAATCTAGCGTAGCGTTAGTTCTGGCAGGTCACGTTAGTCAAGCTCGCATCAGCTGACTCTCAGCTGATCCCCATCTACCTATAGGAATACGACACCTATCTAAGAATTCATATATAAGGTCCCTCAGTATTATCAGCAGTTTTTGCATTGCTCAATAGCTAATTACCCTCCTCCATCCCCTTAGTTCTGTTCTGTTTACCCTGGGGGGTTATCGCAGCTCTCCCTGCTCTCATCCATGCTAGGCTGCATGGATGCGCAGGGAGTTCTTGCCCAGAACAGAACCATACCACCAATCCAAACTGTATGCTAATTGTCAATCATCTTTGACGATAGTGGTCCTGACATAACAAACGCTAGTGCCATCAAACACATCCACATGTCTCCAGATCTCAAGGGCATCTGTGAAAAAATAAAATAAAACTGAGCATGTTAGCTAGTTTTACAACATCAAGTTCATAAGCAGTACTTAACAAATCATGCTTTCAGATGTAACATTAATATACTTATACATGCTCAGTGGTTTATAGACTCTTAAAGGCTTAAACTCACAGTAGATCAGATTAAGCAATAATTTAGGGAAAGACAATGGGCAAGTTTTTAATCTTAGCGGGGCAGATGCTGCGCCGTCTGTCACTGTGGTCATGACAAGACCCCCAAAATGGGCCGGTTTGGCAGTTTGCAGGTCACGTAATAACAATTTTTTTTATAATGTTGAGAATGTCTCTAGGCAGAACTGCCCTGTATGTATGGAGGACATCCACACGTCCAGAATAGGGGCTCATGTGCTCCCCTGCGGTCATCTGCTACACAAGTGAGTGTTTGATTGTGCTAGAAATAACACACTAGTTGTATCCACTACTAGTTAACCGCTTCAACACATTTGACTAAATTTATTTGACTATCATTATATGACAATTTTAAAGTCTGGGTTTTTGCGGGTCTAAATTCACCCTTTCACAAATTAAAGGGTTAGTTCACCCAAAAATTTAAATTAGCCCATGTTTTACTCACCCTCAAGGCATCCTAGGTGTATATGACTTTATTCTTTCAGACGAATCCAGTTGGAGTTATATTAAAAATTGTCCTTGCTCTTCCAAGCCCTATAATGGCAGTGGGTAGGTGTTTTTTTTCAACAGGTCAAAAGTAGTCAAATAAAGCGCATCCATCCATAATAAAACGTGCCTCACATGGCTCCGGGGGGGTGAATAAAGGCCTCCTGTAGCGAATCGATGCGTTTTTGTAAGAGAAATATCCATATTCAAAACGTTATAAACACTTTTCTCTCGCAGCCGTTCCGGCCCTGACCCATGTATTATCAAATGAATGTGATTTAAAGTAAAAACGCTTTCTTTTTTGCTTGCAGAACATGCTTTGAGGACATGTTCAGAACTGGGTAAGAAGTGATGTTTTTTGTGACTACTGCATTGTTTTCTAATGACTTCTGCATAGATTCATACTAGGGCTGGACGATTAATCGAAAAGTAATCAGAACTGAAATTCAGAATCTCTAACTGACATAATTTTCCCATGTCGGTTATTTCGTTTTTTTAATCCTATTAATACTTTCCCCTTGAAAACATACTACCACGTGTGTACAGTAGTAGGCGCTATACGGACATGTAAGACCGTTGCGCTTGTGTCTTTTGCAGTGTCTCGCGCAGCACCGCTCATCAATGTCAGTTCCAAAACAGTGGACCAATCAGAAGACCCCGGAGGCGGGGCAAGCATTGCAAGCTTTTGTTTACAGTAGCAGGTTGGCATGGCAACTTTTGTATTTGACATAGACTGTGGTATTTGACGGCAACACGGCGGAGTAGGCATTCTGCGTTGCACTTTAAAAAAACATTCCTTGAGCACTGCGTCTCGCGGTTTTAGACACAAAGAAAGACCTGTTCTGTATGAATGGCCAGTAAGAATCTAGAGTAAATACGTGACAGGACAGGATCGCTGAGATGGTGCCCTGCTCTTTCTCTTAATCAGCAGTGTTCTATTTACATTCATTATTTAAAACATTTGTTTACAGGAGATGCAAGTTATTATTTTCTACTTTTCACATTGCATTATTTAAAATAATATTCATTTACAAGAGATACAAGTTACTTTTCTCATGACAATATTTAAAATGTATTTTGTTTGCAAAAGATACTGGTTATTTTCTACTTTTAACATGGCAATATTCATTTATTTTGTTTGCAAAAAATGTAAGTTTTCTATTTTTTTTAAGGAAACTTGCTTTTTTTACAATAAAACTGAAATGTGACTTTTTTTTTCATAAGACGTCTTCATTTCAAGCAAGCTTTGATTTTAGTTGTTCGAAATATTGAACAAATAACCATAAATAGTTTGTTTCCTTCAATTATTTTAAAATTACAAAGATAAGAAGTGAACTCTTTCATTAGAAAAAAATATCCCACCTTTTAATATTTGAGTATGTTTACAGTACAAACCTTTAATGAACTGTGAGAGCAAAAAAATTTTTAATAAATAAAATTATCGTTCAATAAACATAATCAAGGTAAAGTGTTCAATTAATTGAGGTTTTGATTTTAGGCCATATCGCCCAGCCCTAATTCATACTGACATTTCCATTAAAGGGATACTCCACCCCAAAATGAAAATTTTGTCATTAATCACTTACCCCCATGCCGTTCCAAACCCGTAAAAGCTTCGTTCGTCTTCGGAACACAATTTAAGATATTTTGGATGAAAACCGAGAGGCTTGTGACTGTTTGGTTGACTGCCAAGTAAATAACACTGTCAAGTTAAACAAAATGAGAAGAATTTACACATCATCATCATCCTGTTCAAAAGTTTACATCTCCCGGCTCTTAAAGGGATACTCCACCACAAAATGAAAATTTTGTCATATCACTTACCCCCATGTTGTTCCCGTAAAAGCTTTGTTCGTCTTCGGAACACAATTTAAGATATTTTGGATGAAAACCGGGAGGCTTGTGACTGTCCCGTAGACTGCAAAGTAAATAACACTGTCAAGGTCCAGAAAACTATGAAAGACATCGTCAGAATAGTCCATCTGCCATCAGTGGTTCAACCGTAACGTTATGAAGTGACGAGAATACTTTTTGTACGCGAAGAAAAAAACCCCGACTTTATTCAACAATTCGTCTCCTCTGTGTCTCTCCGCATCACCGTAGCGCCATTTTGGAGAATATCCGCTGAACGCAAACAGCGTACGCTATTCTGTGTCAGCTGTGCTGCAAGGATGTGCTGTTTTCGTTCAAATCAAAGCGTAAATACACGTAGAAAACGTATCCTTGTGTCGCAGCTGACACAGAATAGCGTACGCTGCTTAATGACACTTTTCATTTTGGGGTGGAGTATCCCTTTAACTTAAGAAGTGTCACACTTCCTCACCTGATATACAGTATCAGCCCCTCTGACCTGTGTTTACATGTTTTGATCCTCACAGCACTCCATACTGTACATATATATGTGTGTATATATATATATACTTATACGATAATGTTGTAAAGTTGAGAGATGAGTTTATATGTCTGTCCCGCAGCGCTTACCGCTGTCCTCTGTGCATGCATTCGGCCTTCAACATGAAGGAGTTCTGGGAAGAGAGAGATAAGGAAATTGCCCAGACTCCCATGCCCACAGAGTACCAGGACACTACAGTCAAGGTAACAGAGCCGTCATTTACATGTATTCATTTAGCAGACATTTGATCTAAATGAGCATACAAATGAGGAGCATTGCAAACACAAGCAGAAGTGAATGTTCGTTTATGAGTCTGTAAGATGTGCTTATATCCTGCAGTTGTAAAATGCTGAAGGTTCAGCTCAGATTTGGCAATATCTACTTTGGTCATTTTGCTGTGAAGGTCAGAATGATTATTTTAGCTTACAGCATGTGGCTGCAGTAGTTTAGGTTGTTTTTTCTGCCATTTGTAAGGTGAATCTCTTGCCGTGTTATTTTAGAACTATTTATATACTATAATTTTTATTCTTAATTTGAATGAGCTTTTTTGTATTTTCAGTTTTCATTTTTTTATTTTCAAATGTTAGTACTTTTGTCATTTTTAATTAGTTTTTGTTTTTTAAACATTTCTATTTAACTTTATTTTATTTTCAGTTTATCATTGTTTTCTTCAGTTTTAGCAATTTTATTTCTTTTAACTTTTTTCATTTTGTTGCCATGGAAACATTTCTAATTTTCATTCGAGTTTCATGTCAAAATGTTATTTTATTTCAGCTTTATTTCAATGAAGAAAAAAATATTTATAATAGCTTTAGTTGATAATAACAACTCTGGATAATCTCTTAAAACTTTAAGAACTTTTCCATCTCATATTTTTTTAAATAATTATTTGGTTTTATTTATAGTAGTTATGTTTGTGATTAAACATTGTTTTATTGCATAATAAACACACCTATTTGTAGGATAATTATTTTTTGTTTTCATGACTAAACATTTCCTCTAATTCCCCAGTTCTCAATTCTGAAATAAAATTTATATCCTCGCTAATGTTATGCAAAGAAAAAAGAATTCTATTATTTTTACCTTATGGTAACATTTGCCTTAGATTTATACTGATTTATTAAAAAAACAATAGTTATAGTGCATTTAAAATTATTTAATGCTATTTATTGATTAATGCTGGACATGAAACAAACACCTTATAGCAGAAATAAAATAAAATGATCACATTGCATATATATTTTCTTTTTATAATTTTATTTTAAAAAAAAAGATTTTAGGTTCTTATTTTCATAACGTTTCTCTAAGCCTTCCTTCTAGAAAGGATCTCATCCTCAGTAATTCTTTAAATATTTTTTTCAGAAAAGAACTCTATTATTTTTACCTCAAGATTGAATTTGCCTTAAATTTATACTGATTTATTAAAAAAAAAAATTATAGTACTTGTTACTGTTTTACACAAATTAGAATTAGAACTGAAAATATTGGAAATGAAAAAAAAAAAAGTGTGGGTGGGTCAAGATATATAAATGCCCCTAAAGCTGGCTTTATTTATTCAGTTGGTTTCATTTTATTTATTTAAAATATTATTTTATTTATTTTAATAATTAATTTAGTTTCTTTTTTTCCTTTGATACAGTGAAATACACTTCGTGTATGTATGTGTTTTTATGTTCACAGATCATATGCAATGACTGCCAGGCTCGCTGCACTGTCTCCTTCCACGTGTTGGGCATGAAATGCAGCTCCTGTGGCTCTTACAACACTGCGCAAGACGGCGGGCTGATCGCGGCCCCTCCTGTAGACGCACGACAGTCTGCAGAGCAGACACTTGAAGAAGAGCCCAACACAGAGCACCACGAGTGACGTTTAGGATCAGAAATCATCTCTCAGTTAAGCTTTTATAGAACTCTTATATATAGAATACAAGCTCTCCTCCCTTCCTGCTCCTCTCTCAAGTCTGTAGAACTGCTCTTATTTTTCTTGCTTTATTAAAAAGGATAAGAACATATTTGAGGCTTCTTTAATTGTACTATTCCACATGCATTTTGTCATAAAGAATCAATAAAGAATTTTAAAGGTAATCCTGTGCTGAGAGGATAAACTTAAACGAATCCTCAATATCTGTCAAGAACATCTTTGGTTTAAATTAAGGAAATTATCCTTAATATAATGTATCAACATGTATCGACAGTGGATATCATTTACGAACGTTTGTTAATTTTAAAATTTAATGCGATTTATTGATTAATGCTGGACAACAAACAAGCATTGTATTACAGAAATAAAATGATCGCATTGCATATGTTTTTTTATATAGTCTTATATATAAAAAATAGAGAATTGTGGTTCTTATTTTCTCAATGTTTCTCTAAGCCTTTTTTCTAGAAAAGAATCTCGTCCTTGGGAAAATATTATTTTTTCATGTTTTAATAGAGTTTGAGGTATTGATGATAGACTGACCTTAAGGCATTATTGAGAATGAAATTACTTTTTTTTTTCTTCCCTCCAAAGTGTACTTCTGTTGAACCTTGCTTTGAGATACAATGGTGGCAAAACTTGATTGCCACCTACGGGGCTCAAACCAGACACAATTCAGACACCACCCCTGATCATGAACTATTAGATTGCACCACACTGATATTATACACCTATAATAACATCTGCATTTACTGGGTCATGGGTTATTTGTGACCTCCACATGTTTAGTCTTGTGTTTAGCCGACAGCAGTAAATGGTGAGCTCACCATCGCTGAAAGGGCTGTGAAATGCAAGTTCATGCAGACACTGACTGTGCTTTTCTCAACCTAAGCGGCTATATTATAGATGATAAACATCATTTGAACCATTGATTTAAGAGTATGATGATCTTTTTTTATACAAATTATATTAATTATATATATGAATTATATATCCATATTAAATTTCAATGGCGATCTTGAGTCATGGGATACCTCAGGATTTTCCTTTGGGTTTTTAGAGTAACAGTTTTATGAGTGATAGTTGGTCTCTGGTCTTGTTTTTAACGTAAGAGCACAAGCGGCCACTTGTAACTTGAATGTGCACGGCTTCTGCGGTCTTCCGCTGTCTTCTATTTATTTTACCTGTACAAAAACAGTCCGTTATGCTGCCTTATCTAATATATTACTGGTATTTATTATCGTATTATAATTGATTATTTCCTATAATCATTAACACTGGTTTGTATGCAAATAGTTTACCGAAGGGTCAAATGTGGTCTTTACGGTACTGTTCTGCTTCTGTAATTCAGATACACCCACACGATGTGGTAACCAAATGAGAAGGCCTGGGGTTTCTGAAAAAAAGGGATGGATTTATACTTTATAACAGCTATGGTCAGCTCTTACAGTGAACTAGCAGTTGCTGTTAAGCAGTTGAAATCTGTAGTCTGTGGTATCGGAGTGAACAAGATGTTGTGAGCACCAAATGTTGGGCCCCGGGCACACAACCAAGGGGGTGGGCCCCTCACAACACAACACCTCGTCAATCTTAATAATAATAATAATCAGTATATCATTATGCGCCCCCCCCCGATTGTAAGCTGCCTGAGAAAAAGGGGTCGTTCACACAACGTTTTTGCTGCACCATCTCCATTCTCCACCATTGCTTTTATAGGGGAAGCCAAACACACCAAAAGTTACACGAAGCAGTGCGGTATTAAAGAGTTGCACTGTTTCATCCCACTTTCAATGAGTTTGGCTTCTCATCCTTTTAAACGTGCGCTAGACGGTCGTGTTTGACAGTTGCGCTCGTATTTCGCATCTTTTTGCGCTTGACACTGCGTACTAAATTTGCGGTACTAAAATTTAATTAAATTCAACTTCTAAAAAAACATCTCGTATTCCGCTTTTCCCCAATTTTCAACTCAAATGCGTTCTGTGTAAATGTTTTCCAGCTGAGTGTTTAAGGACGTGTTCACAGAAAGCATTTTTACAACGCCGCGTATCGCATTCCACCGAACTACTGTTTTTCTAAAAACGACCGTTGCTCTTGTGCCTCGCACAAGGAGCGTCACGTTTTTGGCTGTCCTCAAAACAGTTACACGTAGCCAACTTCAGCCACAGGAATTAGCCTACATCAGTAACACATGATAACTTGAAATATAAAGATTCACTGAATTACAATTAAAAAGGGGGACGTTTATTTCAGCTACATTGCACGATGCAACATTACTCATTTTTGCTTAAAATAAAACTATTAAAAACTAATAAAAATGAACTAACAAAAACCTGTTAAAATTAAAATTGAAAAATAAAATGAATTCAAAATATGAAAAAATATAATGGTATATTAACGGTACTAAAATAACACTGATTTGTATTGAACCTAGTACATTCCTTTAACATAAGGGCAAACCCCCTATACAGTGTTAAACTTTTTTTGTACCATACATTTCATTCAAGGTGCTAATTCAAAGTGTTTTACATGGACACAATAAATAGAATAAAGTTTGGATTAACAATAAAAAACACTTTGTCAATTATAACTTAGTATGTCAATTTTATTATAATTATGAAATAAATAACTTGAAATTCATAATCAAAATGAATGACCTAATTATATACAATATGAATATCTAATGTCTTTATTAGTGAATACTTATTAAATAATAAAGTCACAATAGCTTTAGGACCAATTCTCAGACTCATATTTCAGCTGGAAGCAGTGGTTTGAAGTTATTGATGGATTTGTTCCTTTGTTTCATGCAACTTTTCAGATGCCGACGGTAACCCCCATGACAACCACAGCGGCACACAGTCCAACTACTCCGTACAGAAGCGGCCCCTGTGAGAGCCCACTCGAATGTTCCTGACAGTGCTCTCCACTGTAACCCGCCTCACAGACGCACACCGTCACTCCGTTCTGGGTTGTGCATTTACCGTTGCCGTTACACAGCGTAACGCCACACGCCTCAGACTCGATGTTCTCTGGTATGACATTATCACTCAAACCTGGACGAAACGCTTTAGGATTGATCCGGACATTTTTATGTTGTGTATCTTGAACACCTGAGAAGTCAGAAGAGAAGAACATGCCTATTATATGGATCCGGTTTAATCTTGAATGAATCTAATGAAATCATGTCTGGGTCATTTTGTACTCAGGGGAATTATGTAGATATATAATTATAAAATTTAAATCATTGTGTGTTTTCATTGAATACAATTATTTAAATAAATTCATGGATAAATACTTAAGACAAAATTAAGGTTATTTGCATTGTGCAAAATGTAATTTCCAATTTTTCTCTTTGGATTCTGTACGTTTATGGGTGTTTATTTACGCTATAATATTTTTGTGATTTATTATTAAGACTAAACAAAAAAAAAAAATTCTAATTATCATAAAGAAATGTAATTCTCTAAGGTGTCCCAAAATAAAATTAAGCCTATTTTTGGGACCATTAAGAATATTTGCATTATGCTAAATTACATTTTCCTATTTTATTATTTGATTTTGGAGTAAAAATGGACCTGCGTATGTTCTTCACAGTGCAAATATACACCCCAATAACAGCTACCCACAACAGAATAATCCATGTTATTAGTAAAGCCAACTTATTCCTCCCAAAACATTTTTTTACATTTAAACCAGAAGGTTAGGATTTGACGTTTCCTCACAGTTCTCATCAGAATGATCTGGACAGTCGGCGACGCCGTTGCAGAACTGCTCCAGAGATAGACAGAGGTCTTCACTCAGGCAAGGTTTGGTGCCTCCAGGGCAGCGGGGGTCCAGACTGCAGTCTCTGCCGTTGACCAGGCGGTGATTATGGGCACAGTGGCACGCCATTCCTCCAGGGAACGCAAGACAAAGGTGACTGCAGCCTCCATTACCATTAGAGCAGAGATTAGTGCCTGAAATAAGAAATGGACTAATTAATGCTTCATAATTTACATAAATGTGATATTACGCAATTATTTCCTCACCTTTTTGTCTCGACTTTGCAAATGCTTTCAGACTGTTGATGTCGGCGTCCACTTCAAACCACAGCTTCCCTGTATGCTCATCATCACTAAACCAACACTTAGTGGAGTCTAAACAATGGACAGCTTATTAGGTAAAAATCATCTTAAGATGGTATGACCTGGTTTTTCCCTACAGAAGAGCACAAAACATCCCCATACAAAAGTACCTTTTTTAGTAATCCAAACAAGAACTTTGTTAACCAAAGCAAATGCCATCAAGCGTTCTTCTGTCTTTATTTCCTTGTATCCAGAACCATCTATGGCAACTGAACCAATTACTGCAAGACCTACAGAAGAGATTATTAAACATACATACATACACACACATACATATACACACACATACATACAGGTGCATCTCAATAAATTAGAATGTCGTGGAAAAGTTCATTTCAGTAATTCAACTCAAATTGTGAAACTCGTGTATTAAATAAATTCAATGCACACAGACTGAAGTAGTTTAAGTCTTTGGTTCTTTTAA